AGCACAGAAGCTCAGGGTCATTGACATATTCCTCAAAGGCATATTACATTTATTTTCACTGAACAAACACATAGAGCTTACTATGTGCTTAGTAAGTAAAAACTGTTTTTTATTTTTTTAAATTTTTTTTGATGTTGATAGACCTTTATTCATTTATTTATATGTGGTGCTGAGAATTGAACCCAGAGCCTCACACATGCTAAGCAACCCCAGTCCCTAAAACCTATTTTTATTTTTTAAAAAATATTTTTATTTTTTAGTTTTCGGCGGACACAACATCTTTGTTTGTATGTGGTGCTGAGGATCGAACCCGGGCCGCATGCATGCCAGGCGAGTGCCCTACCGCTTGAGCCACATCCCCAGCCCCCTGAAACCTATTTTTAATACAAATTATTTGATGGGCACGGTGGCACATGCCTGTAATCCCAGCAACTCATCAGGCTAAGGGAGGAGAATCTCAAATTCAAAGCCAGCTTCAGCAACTCAGCAAGGCCCTGTTTCAAAATAAAAGAGGGCTGGGGATGTAGCTCAGTGGTCAGTGGTTTAACACCCTTGAGTTCACTCGCTGACACCAAAAAAATAAAAATAAATAAATAAACAAACTAAAAATTATTCAATCCTCACAACAACCCTATGAAGTACAAAGAGGTAAGATAATTTCCCCAAGGTCATTCAGTTCAACATTGGCAGAACCAGAGTTTGGACCAGCAGTTAGCTCCAGGGTCCAGTCACTGAGCTACACACTGGCTGGCTCACTTTCTGTCTGACAGAAAACATGAAAGCTGCTGTTCACTACTCACAGTGCCCACCAACAACCAATGCAAAATACATCACCGGCATTTTCCCTTGAATAGCACCAATGGGTGAAAAAAATTAAGCGTATTTTCTTCCAAGCTAATGTTATACTACTGATATCATTGTATCAAAATAATATTTAGCTTTTAAAAAACAATAAAAACTTAGATATTTAGAAAGTCCATTGACCTGAGCCCCCTCATTCTCTGTTAATAACAGACACATAAAAACAATCAAACGGTAATGTCAGCTAAGTAAAAATTCTTTCCATTCTAAACAACAAATGCTATCTTGAACCTCTAAATTGAAATCTGCTTACCCTAGAAAGCTTCTAACCAGCAAAGAAAACCCCTAGAGCCAAAGGAGAAAAATCATTAAGCAGCAATATCAGAGAAAGTTGCAAGGAGCTTAAAACTCAATCCCCTAGATAAAATGTTAAACTCATCTTATATGGTAATGCCATTTAAATAATGAGATGGGCTATGAGAACAGAGAATATGGTAAAGAATAGGAAAAATAAATAGTTTCTTGGAATTCTCTGGAACATTTTTATTAATATCATATTTACACCATCCCCTTTACCCATGTATTAAACTTTGTTCCCAAACCACTAATTGTACATTTGGCTTTATTCAAAGTAGAAATGTGTGTGTGTGTGTGTGTGTGTGTGTGTGTGTGTGTGTGTGTGAAAAAGAGAGAGAGAAGGAGGTTAGTCTGTGTGTGGCCAAAGCAAGAACTATTTACTCCTTTAAAAGAAATATCAATAGTGTGCATGCCAAGTCAGCAGTCAAAGGAAGCCCAGTACTTGCTATAGAAGCAAGCCAGAGGAAATAGAGCCAAAGATAATCTGGCTGCAGGAAGACAACAGAAATTACGAAGCTAGTGAGTGTCCAGCATGAAGATTAACCTGTTATTATCACCACATGTGGACTTCCTATAAATTCTTCAAGACTCATATTTCACATATGTGAAGCTGACATTCATACATGTCAGTTGAGGAACTGATGCTAAAGTATATGTTCTAATTATCTTCTTTAATTTGTGTCTCCTCACTTCATCAATTGAAATGAAATTCATGTCTTCTTAATTTAGTCGTTTTTAAAATTGGTTTCTACTTCATATGTTTGTTAGTTTACGTCTATATTTCATACTATTCTCAGTCCAAATTTTCCATGTTGATGCTTAACAACATAGGCCATAATCTTTCTTGAACAAGTTAACTATTGGAGAACTTTGAAATTTTAATCTGAACTGCACAGGATGAATTGTATCTTTTATTTCATGCACCCTAAAATCATTGGTCCCTGCAAGGTCATTCTGTCCCATACTGCTTCCTTATCCCTTTTATTTTTGGATTTCACGCCCAATACCAGCCCCAACTATAGCCACTGATGTCTTTTTTTTTTTTTAAATAAGTACTGAACCCAGTGTTGCTCTACCATTGAGGCCCTTTTATTTTAATATAGGATCTCACCAAGTTGTCCAGGCTGGCTGGAACTTGCCATCCTCCTGCCTCAGCCTCTTGAGTTGCTAGGATTACAGTCGTGCACCACAGTGCCTGACTACAACTAATGGCTTTGATAACTGTATCTCAGTACCCACATATCTTGGTAAAATGCATACTGTTATTATTTTACTGTCAAAACACATGCTTTTAATTTATGTTAAAATCATTTTTCTATAGAACTAAATGTTCTTATTTTTTCACTAATATGTTTTGAAGATCTATCTGCATTGCAATATGTACATCTAGTTTGGTGCTTTTAATAGTTGAGTAACACCACCCAGAAATCTAGGTTCTGAATATGTTACTATATTCTACTGAAGAAAAAAACATTAAAATCACAAGCAAAGAGGAAATATCTTACCACCAGTGCACATGGGTACATAGCAGCCTGAAGTTATATAATGTATTTAAAACTAAACTGTTGGGGAATAACCCAAACTCCACCTCCAACCAGCTGTATGGTTTGTTATTTTTGTTAGGAAAATTCCCAAAGGGACAAGAGTCTGGTATCTTTGGGGAGATGTTTTGTGCTTTTGAGCTCTGCCACTGGGGAATGGCCTCATTTGCCATTTTGCATCTTCTGCATTTAGGCCTTGACAAGAGTCATTTTTTGAATCATTGATGGGAGAGGTAGATGTGATAGATTGCAAATATCTGGGCCCCCAGGGACAGGATGCTTAACTTTTATGAGCCTCTGTTTCTTCATTTAAAATTAAGGGAGGGTCTGACCTGTAACCAAGAATGAATAAAAGGTATCATTTTCCTTTATTTTTAGCTGAAGCCCACATGTCCATTTGTATGTTATAAAAGTGATTTCAGTCTTTTGTTATGACATAAAAATGAAATACAAATGTCTCTATTTCCTGTACTACATGGCTTCTTATTTTGTTGATCACTTTTATAATTAGTGAGTTGATATGAATAATGCACGAAAAAGCAAATTTACCAAAGACCTAAAGCTATGAGCTTTGGAAGTCACTGGAAGTTATGGAGTGTTCTAGGTAGAGTGAGGCAAAGTTGAAAACATGACTATATGTGTTTCTAGTAAACTGCCTAAAGAGATCTCAGAGAAAAGAGACTACAATCTCTAAATCTTCATAATTCGGTGTGACTTTTTCTATTCTAAATAAATATTCCATTTTATACTTAATTTTATATTTTTAATTTTGTGTCTTTTTTTCAAAAGCGATCCCCAAATTGAATTATTTTAGACTTCACAAAACCTTGAATCTACGTGTGACCTTGTGATTTAATACTTAATTTTATATTTTTATACTTAATTTTATATTTTTAATTTTGTGTCTTTTTTTCAAAAGCGATCCCCAAATTGAATTATTTTGGACTTCACAAAACCTTGAATCTATGTGTGACCTTGTGATTTAACATTATGAACAAAAACATATAGATACATCTCAATTAACACAAAAGTTTTCTGGAGTAGAAAGGGTCCTCTAAATTGAATTCTCAGGCAAGTTATTGTTCTGTATTGGCTTTAGATTTCTCATTTTAAAACATGTAGATTTGAGTAACTATGAGATCCTTTCCAACTTAGAAAAACCCAACTCCATCGTACCTGTTTTGCCACGCTTCCAACAACCTAACAATAATATTTTAAATGAACTCCACAATGAATTTTCACTGTATAAAATTCAAACCTTCAGTAGTATGACAAATTGTAACCACTGTTCAACTTAGTATATATTTTGTAAGTGCAAAGATCTGAATAGGATTCTTACCATAAAGCACACTAGTTAGTGCACACCACTATAGAACTCATCTGCCTTATAAGGACAGGAACATTTCCTCCACTTGTTCTCATTTAAAGTCGACCATGATAAAACTATATGTTGATTTTCATTTATAACAGTACTCAAAATAATCCATTCTGAAAGAGGAAGAGGTATTTTTACAGTCACAGTGAAATCCATTAAAATCTATATGTAAACCACGTTGTTTTAGAAAGTATGAAGAAAATAATGAGACATTCATGAGAGATAAACAACAGTTTCTGATCTTAACTATTTGACAAGATATGAGTAGTTTTAAAAGGGTGGTTGGCG